AGTCTTGTTGGTTGTCCGAATTTCAATATGTTGGCTTTAAGACTCTCATTCGATCTAGACCCACATGATGCGCGGGACGCGGGCAAACTTCAGTCCAAAGGGTCTGGTTAAATTGGAACTGCCAAATTATGTAATTGCATATAGTAATGTCGCTTGGTGTATGTTTATATTGTATAATTAATGTCACAGTCCGATCTGTCATGACTACGGAATCTTGTAAATAGGTATTTAATATGAATAAATTTATGTCGCATCATTTTGTATGCTAGTTTACTTCCAGGATATGTAGCTTTTCTGCATATTCGCTCTTCGGCATGTCGGTATATATTCGCCTTTCGGCGTGTGTCGGTATAGATATTCGCCTTTCGGCGTGTGTCGGTATAGATATTCGCCTTTCGGCGTGTGTCGGTATAGATATTCGCCTTTCGGCGTGTGTCGGTATAGATATTCGCCTTTCGGCATGTCTGTATATATTCGCCTTTCGGCATGTTGCTTGCGCTATGGTAGTGCGGCCCTTTGCTGACGCTGTTCTTGTGTGTTCGATGTGAGTAGACAATTCGTTATTTCCAATTCGCGGTTACATGTCGGTATATTATTGCGTCGTCGTGTCAATTTTGTTGTATAAATTGTGTAGTTTTAGATGTCTTTCAGATACAAGATTGGAACCCAGCACTGGATGACTTCTGTGACACTCTGCCCAATGTGATATTGGCGTCTAGAGCCGGTTATACGTTAAGCAAGTACACCGACAGTTAGCTCAGATGGAAACGATGGTGTCAGTCAAATTTGTCGGCGGGCGCCGCCAGTCCAGCAAAGCCGTTGCACATTGCTATATACCTTCGGATTTTGTTGGACGACGCAAATACAGTTGCGCCCATGGATTCCGCATTGTATAGTATTAGATGGGCGCACTCAATGGCTGGTATCGAATCTCCGACTGGTCATTCAATGGTCCGGGCTACGATGGAGGGCTGCAGGCGCATCTTCGCAAAACCTAGGAAGGCCAAAGAGCCAGTCGACCCAAAAATTCTGGCCACACTGGTGTCCCAAAAGAATCTGTCTTCGTTATCAGACTTACGATTGCTATGCTTATGCCTTATTTCGTATGCTGGATTTATGCGTATTGGCGAGCTCTTGAGCGTTATAATAAACGACGTTTCATTCTCCGATTCTCATATGGAGATTAAATTGCATAAGCGAAAGAACGACCAATTTCGAGAAAGAAGTTCTATAATTATTGCAAGGTCTCCCAAAAATACTTGTCCCGCACGTGTTACTGAAATGTTCATATCTAAATTGGGGGTTAAGTTTCTTAATTCGAAGACTGGTACATACTAAGCAGGGGCTCAAGCCTCACAATCATTTAGGGATTTCATATTCTACTGCTAGAGATTTAATGATGAAAGGTATCAAACCACTGGTTAACGATATTTCCCAATTCGGCACTCACAGTTTTCGTGCGGGTGGGCGGCGGCAGCTAATAGTAACGTTAATGAAAAGTGCATTGCCAGAC